GTTTCGAAGAAAGGTGTGGGAGGAGTCACTTCCCCCCCGAGGTTGGGCGCCCTGCGCCTAGGGGGGCTGAGTGTATCCAAGGTAAGCTATAGCAGATAGGAAGGATGTGTGTTGTGCTGTTCTTGTCTGTCCTTCCTTTCAGGTGCTCTGCTACGATCCATCGGTTAATCTGGGGAGGTCAGAGGAGGACCATAGGTGTGGCCTCAAAAGATTACCTCAGTCTCCTAGGCAAGAGGGCTGGGTTAATACCCATTGGTTACTCCTCCCACCCCTTCACTTCGGAAACTGGCAATTGGACTTACCTGAACTGCATGTTTAGAAGAAAGGTGTGGGAGGAGTCACTTCCCCCCCGAGGTTGGGCGCCCTGCGCCTAGGGGGGCTGAGTGTATCCAGGGTCAAGCTATAGCAGATAGGAAGGTTATGTGTTGTGCTGTTCTTGTCTGTCCTTCCTTTCAGGTGCTCTGCTACGATCCATCGGTTAATCTGGGGAGGTCAGAGGAGGACCATAGGTGTGGCCTCAAAAGATTACCTCAGTCTCCTAGGCAAGAGGGCTGGGTTAATACCCATTGGTTACTCCTCCCACACCTTCACTTTGGAAACTGGCAGTTGGACTTACCTGAACTGCATGTTTAGAAGAAAGGTGTGGGAGGAGTCACTTCCCCCCTGATTTAGGGCGCCCAGCGCCTAGGGGGCCTGAGTGAGTCCAGGGTCAGCTATAGCAGACAGGAAGGTTATGTGTTGTGCTGTTCTTGTCTGTCCTTCCTTTCAGGTGCTCTGCTACGATCCATCGGTTAATCTGGGGAGGTCAGAGGAGGACCATAGGTGTGGCCTCAAAAGATTACCTCAGTCTCCTAGGCAAGAGGGCTGGGTTAATACCCATTGGTTACTCCTCCCACACCTTCACTTTGGAAACCTACCGTATTGTTTCTTTCTGATATTTAACAGAAATATTTCAAGACCAGAATCCAAGCCAACTTTCAATTACATAGTTTTAGATTTACTAGCCAATAGCCTGATTCAAGATGTTGGCAGACTTGGTGAAGTGATTCAGAATGGTTAATTAAAATAGATCCAAAGCAAACTCCCTACACAGCCATTTTGGCAGTAATATTATTATTTTTCCACTAATCTCCTTTACTAAAGATTATTCACAGCTCTGGTTTCTTCATGCTTCCCTTTTATCTTATATCTTAATATTTTCATAATTTTGCAGCATTTTTTCAATCCCAAACGAAAACATTTTCACACCTTGCAGCTTGATAATAAATGCATATTTAACAAGAACACTGAACCATTTATTTATGTTCTAAACATGGGACAAAAACTCACATTTAATTCTTACACAAGAATGTTGATATAACAGTTAGAAAAAAACTACAATTGGGGCAACATTAAACCTATGTAAATAATTTATAAAATCTTCAAAACCAAACCAGTCCTGACAAAAGCACAGAAATCCATTACAAAATTAGGAAACTGATCTGTAGGAGCAGGGTGGGTTGCTGATGGTTTTACTACTGGTTCGTAACCCTGTTCAATGTAAATTGTTCTTCGCCCATGTTCTTCGCGGAGAACAATTCACAGTGAACTGCGCATGCGCAGTCACTAAAAACCAAAATGGTGGCGGCCCAGCAGTGGCAAGGGAACCGGTTCGGAGACTTGGCAGGCCTGAGTCGCTGCCGGTTCTGCGACCCAGGCCTGAATTCCATTACTGGTTCAGCTGAACCAGGAGCAACCCTACTCTGTGTAAGAGCTTTTGGAGAAAAAAAGTTCAGAATAAATCAGTTTTTTCAGAGTTGTGACTGAAAATGCATTAGCCATAACTAATATTTGTGCTGACAAGAGAACAAAATGTAAAGTTCAATCATTTCATTTACAGAAAATTTCTGAACTGTTACTTATAGCTAATACTTATATTTAAAAAATACAAATTTTATTAAGCCATACTTATTTAATTTATAGTACAATTTGGCATATGTACTATATGTCCTCAAAGTTACTATGAAGAACTTTAAAACCTAAAACAAGCCCCTATTCATATAATGGATTTCCCTTTTTTGTTGTAAACAGAGAATTCTGTCACTATTTTAAAAAGAGAATAAAGTTATTCAACATAAGGATAAACAATCAGAAGATAAAAAAGTAGTAGATTCTAGGTATAGAATCTATTCTAAAGAAATCTACTCCAAACTGAAATAAATATATTATAAATATTTATAAGAGCTCTAAAAGTATCAATTTAAGACTCCATTATTATTGATAATAATTAATACCACATAATACATAATATGTAGAGTTCAACTTCCACTTCTTCCACTAAAGGGATTGGAAAGTGAAATTTAATTCCTTTCTATCTTTCAACTTTCACGGCCCTTATGTCTGCCTTCAGACAGTTAGTGAAGGAACGGTTTTGGAGAGGCAATAGAATCATTTAATAATGATAGAAAAGAAATAACAAGTAAATAAAGTCCCTTTGCACAAGATAGATTTCTCCTGATTCTACACTGGATTTCACCCACACTGTGAATAGGAAACCAAATGATGAGAAATAGTATATTCTGAACAAAATGATCAAATAATCATAAATTCAGTATGATAATTTTAGCCTTTGGGAACTCCAAGCCAATAGGTTAAATTGGTTAATTATTGCATATGTCAGACTGTATCAGCCAGTGCTATGGACCATTTTCTTCTTACTAGATTTGGTTTTTTTAATGACATCCAACTAGCTGAAAAATATATTGTTCATCTTAATGCTTAACAGTCATAATTTCAGAACCTTAGGAAATAGAAACCAGCAATTCTATTAATTTTAATTAGGCTGTCTTCCCAGAAACAGCTCTAGCAAATTTAATAAAATGTTACCCTATTGCTTAAATCCCTCCATTAACTACATTTTCTAATTTAGCTAACAAGAA